GCTGCAAGCTTCGAGATGCCCCTGCTGCCGAGCGAGATCGACGCTCTGAGACAGGTCTTCGGGGCAAGAGTTGGATGTTTGATTTCATCTAACCCAAAAGCCCCCAAAAGCCCCCAAAAGCCCTAAGCGCTGAACCCCAAACCCTAAACCCTAAAATGTGTCTTAAGGGCAACATCCAGGAAAAAGGTCCTCAAAACAAAAGTGTCATAAAACCTAAACCCTGAACCGTGAGCTTTCTTCTCACAGAAGCTCTGAGACAGGTGGAGTGTGCTGCGCTTGCTCTAAAGCGGCGAGCGCTACCCGGCTCGCCATAGGTTCTGGCCGTCTCTGTTGAATGATGGTAGGGAAAAGGTTTAGGGTCAAGTTTACTAATTTCTTGTGATTCTTCTTCCAAGCACTACTGCTCTTATGCCTGTGTGAGTATGCTCCTTGCTTGGCGCGCAACATCCCTGGTCCTGAGGCAGCTTGAGGAGGAGCAGCTGAAGCGTACATCCAGAAGCTCGACCTGACACAAAGGGTTGTACTACAAATACTACAACAGAATTTAACAGAATTGTCAGATTCAATTGATATCTACGAACAACACCCAAATACCACTACAACGGTATTAACAAGGATAATACTTGATAATAATAGTAATAATGATAACAATTATAACAATAATAATACTAACAATAACAAAAATAATAATCATCATCATAACAATAATGAAAATACCTATTTGGTGTGTGGGGCCACCTACACTGGCAAAGATCCCAGATCTTGATGTTGATGTGGTCGTTCTGGGCCGCGAGAATGTGTCGCATTTTGTCATCTCTTGTCATCGTATTTTCCAGGCAACTCTTTACCATTCTTCTTTGGCGGCTTTGGCCAGGGGGGACTCTTGGCTGACTTGGCGGTAAGCGTCATGGCTCAAGGCGGCCTTCTTTGCTGAAGCCCCGAGCTTAGGGGTGGTCGCGTTGTACGCTGCGACGTGCCTGATGGACGGGAGTGTTCTCTGCGTCTTTGGCATTCCGCCCCTAGAGTCCCGTCTTCTGCCCCACAGGAGAAGCCTATCGATGCAGTTGCCTTCTGTCATAGCGGAGTGCCAGCGGCTTCAATGATTGGCAAGCGGCTGACTCCCCAAGTGAGGACGGCTCTGCCCACTTGCATAATGTGTGTTTCCTTTGGGCATTTTGCCTTGGTTACCATCAAGGAGGGCCACGAGATTGCATGCCATCTATGACAAGGCCGACGAAGAAATTCCAACAACATTTCCTGAAGCTTGGCCTGAGGGACAGTCTCAACAGGATGATAAGTCGATCTGGTCTTTGGTGCAGTCATAGTTTGACGAGTCGCAACATACGAGACACATAAACTTGAACCGTATTAAACCATGATGCTTTTGGAGTTGTTTGCTTCTAGCTTGCCTGTGCTTGGATCGGTAGACACAGAATGACATGTATGCCGAGGACACCATCCATCAGATGTTGTCTCTTGCCCAATGCCGCATGCCTAGATTGAGCTGTCAGCATCGTCACGGCTCTGTTTCCTTCCACCTATCATGAATCAAGGCAAAGCTAGCCTCTACTGGCTGCAGAAAGGTGATGGCCACCAGTTTGAGGATGAAGCCGCGGGCGCGGTAATCAAGTGTGCCCACATGTGGCTGGAAGAGCTCCGTTCCCGCCCGGACGTGTTCCGGAGCTTCCGGTAGCGCCGTACCGACAGGTTCCGTCTCATAGGATTCCGGACTTTATCGAGCTGGGCGGTTGAATTCTTAACTGATGGCGCTCCGGATTGTAGCACAGTAGGACATTTCAACTTCCGTTATGTGCCATCTTTGCAGAAGCATTATGTTCTGGAGAGGGCAAAAGAATCGATGCCGAAAGCGCGGCTGCCGTGCATAGTCTCGAGGCCGCAGCACAAGCATTCGACCAGCCAGTTGAACCCTGCGCAGGGGCATTCACCACTGTCACAGCATCCGCATTCTGCACAGAGACCTCAAGCCAGAGGCTGAGTCACCAGACAACCCTGAGCCTCGCGTCGTTTGCCTCTACGTCCTGCAGCCCCAAAAACCCTACTCTCCGAAACTCCAGACCGCGATTATCCTGAAACCCCTACCCTAACCCCAAAAGTCTGCAACAAAACCCTGAAAGCCCAAAAACCTAATACAGCCTGCATCAGCCTGCCAAGTCCTAAAGCCTGAAGACACCGAGCCTAAACCCTAAACCCTAAACCCTAAACCCAGGCCCCACAACGTTCTGGTGGACGTGACGGGCTCCCGTTTCAAGCTCGCCGACTTCGGCTTGGCTCGGGCCTTCTCGGTCCTCGCCCCGGAGTTTTTGGCTTTTTGGGGGGATCTTTGGGGGTTTAGGGTTTAGGGGTTTAGGGTTTAGGGTAGCGCATTTAAGTGTGAAGCTTGAGGGTGACGGTTCGGGCGGAGGGCTCAGCGGTTGGAGTTACATGGCAGGGTTCGTGGGTTTATGGTTTAGAGGGCTTTGATTCATCCGCGAGTCTGTGAAGGGATTTCGTCTGAGCCTCTCAGGTGCAGATGCGGGCCCTTACGCAGGAGGTTCCAACACTTTTGCCCAGGCTTTTGGCTCCCATCGTTGCTCCTTGTGGAGGTGGTGAGTCTCTGGTACCGGGCCCCCGAGATCCTGATGGGAGAGCGCAAGTGAGCACTGGCTGGGGGTGGGGCGGTTTGAGGTCGTCTCGGGTCCGAAGCTCAAGCTGAGCAGGTACGCATCTCCAACGGACATATGGTCCTTAGGCTGCATCGTGGCGGAGATGGCCACGGGTCAGGCAGATCGGGCAAAAACGTTTCTTCTCAGAGCTTCGCCAGACCCAGCAGCACTGCGTGAGTCAATGCTCTCATCATGAATGAAGAGCCTCTATAGCTTCTTGTCGCATGGTGGCTGCCAGGTCCTATTTCCTGGAGACAGTCAGATTGACGCGACCTTACCCATTACATCTATGTTTGGTGATGCCGAGGCTTGCACCAGTGAGAACATGCACAGCAACTTGAGGACACCCTCTTCCGAATCTTCCGCATGCTTGGCACGCCGTCCGAAGAGGCCAAGGCTCCGGCAGCCTCTCTGAAGCACTGGCACCGACTGAGCAGGTGTGGCCCGGTGTAAGCACACTCCGCGAGTTCACGCTGGACCCCGCCTTTCTTGAGATGGTGTGACGGAAGACTCCCCTTTTGTTTCTCCATGTCGAAATGAGCCGCTGAGACGTGGCCCGCAGGAGTTTCCGAAATGGAGCCGCGCTGCCAGGGACTCACAGTACAATACTGTACAAAGGCCTGACCAGAGTCGCCCTGGTTTTTCCTTTGCCTCAGGGCTTGGTGGACGTGCGTGCCAAAGCACCAGCATTGGGGTGCTGTTCTCATACACCGCCCTGTCACTTGTGAAAGCTTGGAAGCGTGGGATAGCGGAGCAGGAGCGAGTAGATCGCGAAAGCAAGGCCTGATGGTTTGGATCTCGTCGATCAATGTCTCAAGCGCGGGACTTGGAGATAGAAAGGCTTTGACCAGCGGAACAGCAAGACATTGCTGGGATCCCGCTTCGGCTCAGGTACAATGTAGCCGAGCGGGCTTCTGCCCGGCACCTGCGCACTGTCTGCACTTCAACGACTGCGGGTTCAGGGTCAGATCGCTCTAGGACACATGCGCAAGCCGAACTTTGGCTGTCTTCCTTTTTGGGTTCGATCTGCTCAAGGCAGATCCATGCTGTGGCTGCATTGCAAACCGAAGCAGGTTGCAGCACCGGTTCTTCGAGAACTTCGTGATTGCGACGTGATGCTACGACTTTTGTGCTTTGCAGGCACTTGGCACGTGGCCACGTCCGATTACCGGTTCTGCGTGTTGCCACATCGACTTTGCGAAGTCGTGGGTAGGCGGCCAAGGAAACCGGCACCTTCCCATGCTGCGCCCCGCTGAGAAATAGATCCCGGGGTCAGGGGATTCAACGGAACTGTCCTTTCATCGCTCTACCATCTGGAACAACCTCCTAGGCTTGTTTTTTTTGGAAAGCAACCACCCAGATCCAGTTGCTGCGGCGCTGCAGCACATCGCACATCATCGCGCAGCATTCACGCTCAGGTTGCATACACTTTAGAATAAATTCTACTTTGTGATCCCTGAAGCGAAGCTCACAGTCAGTCCGTCCCACAGCGTGAATGCCGACATACTGCAGCTACGCAACGAAACGTGTTCGGAGAATCTGGCGGCTGTTGCGCCAGAGCTGCGAGTATGTACAGATCCGTAGGCCTTAGGTAGTACTGCACTTGGGAGGAAGTGCGATTAGCTTAGACTCTTGCACAGCATGCAACTTTTGATGTTAATGGCTGCATCATGCCTCTGATGCCTTTCGCCGCAGGTGCTCAAGAGCAGTCGCATACTGATATGTGTTGTTTTTTTTCACATTTGTGGGGGCTCTGAGCACTTGCTGCCCTGGAGAATCCGAGTTTTTTTCTGGACGGTCGTGGTCGTTGGCTCATGAGCCCCACAACATTGAAAAGTTGCAGCCTATCGTCGAAGGAACTAGGAAAACGTTGCAAGAGGCAAGACTCAGCGATACTGGCATCGGGACCCTTGGTTGGTGGTTCCCGATGCATTGGTAGTATAAGATCTATGCCTTACTGAGCCCCCTCTAGTGTTTGCGGTGGGACCTCCGGCCCCTCTAGTGTTTGCGGTGGGACCTCCGGTGGCAGGCTCGCAGCAATGATTTGAAGTTGCGAGCCTGGCTTGGGCCGTGAGCTGACGTCCCAGAGACAGTGGGGAGCCAGAATCCGCGGGGAGGCGAGGATTTTGGTGGGGCCCCCCTGGCCCAAAAAAGAGAGCTGTCTCGTTGAGTGGTCGAAAAGCCGGTGCTCGAAGTAAAGGGAAAGCCTCCAAGGCTTGCAGAAAGAGTCTTCCGTGAGACGATCTTGCGGCGAAATGGCTCAAGCTCCCGGCACGTCATCCTAAACCCTAAACCCTAAACCCAAAGAGCCAAATTCCCAAGAGCCAAAAGCCCGCCATGAGCATCTCCTTGCAGCAGCTCCGGCCTCCTCCTCCCCAAGAGCAGCGGCCTGGCCAGAGCTCGCCGAGTTCCAGCCGCCCGGAGTCTGTGGAGCTCCACGACGTCTGGAGCCGAGGGGGAGCGGATCTTCCGAAAGGCTGCTGCTACCGCCGCTCAGATGGGATCTTTGGGAAGAACTAGGGGCCCTGGATGTAGCCTTTTCCTCCTGATCTGGACCCGCCTTGATTCGGCCAGCGTCGCAATTTCACATCGACAGCCGCCATGACACTCAAGATCTGGTGCGACCGGGTTCCGGTAGACTTCAGCACGTGTGAAGGAATAACCAAGTGGCTCATTTAGCGGCCATGTTTACTGGGAGAGCCAGCTCCAAAGGCCCTAGCTGATCTTCGATGTTACTGCCTCCCAGGACGCTCCTTATGGAGCTGGATCCTCGACTTGCTGATCGGTGTAGTGGTCGCAGTCTGCGCCCAACTGGTGCACTACGGCCATGAAGCGCTCAGTACCTTTCGTATGTACCTTGTGGGGCTGGTGCTGCCGGGCATCTTTAGCGCATGGGTCGTCAACACCATGAAGCTTGGCGAAGACAGTGGTAACAGCAGCAACAAGCATCATAAGAATAAAAATGAGAATATTGAATAATAGTTAGACTCGTGACAACAGTAGTAATCAATCATATTAATACAAAAAAGGATAAAATGAAATAAAATAAAAAAATAATCATCATCATCGTAGTAATAATAACAACAACGATGCCACAACACTAGCAAGAACTGGAATGAGTGTATAGCATGTAGTACTGTATTATTCGGACTAAGAAGATTCATCGGCAAAGCTCTCTTCATCTGCCCAGCCTCTCAGGATAACCCTTGTCTTCGTTGCTGGTGCACACGCCTGTGTACTCTGGCAGCCCAGCGCAATCAGTGGAGGTATCCCAGGCCCGGTTTGGGGCTCAGGGCCAGAGATGATTTAGGATTCAGGGGGCCGGGACGCTGCTACTGGCGCTCTTGAACTCACAGGCAGGGGGCCTGAAGTCTGTCTTCAGTTGCACTGCCCTAGAGGTGTCATTGCCTTCCTCAACGGCGTGGACCTAAGGAAGAGCCTCTTTACCCAAGAAATCCTAGCCCCTCGGCAACTTGAAGAGGAGTTTGGTGTTTTCGAAACCTTTCACGCTCCAGGCAGCAAAGATCCTGGGTGTCATTTGTGCCTGTGGCTCGTCCTTGGCTGTCGGTCCGGAAGGGCCAATGATCCACATCGGAGCTGCGACAGGCGGCGCGCACCAAAAAAAGGGGGCTTCGTCTTTTCGTTTTCCTCCTCCCACCTCCCTTGCGTAGAGTTGCGTGCAGCTGCTCGAGGTGTCTTGGTCCTGGCGCAGTGTCGACGGGTCGAGTGGTTTCGGCGGGTGCTGCAGGGCAGCGGTGGCAGCCGAAGCCTGGAACTCCATGCGGCGGCTGTGGGCGCAGGCTGTGGAGTTACCGCGGCCTTCTGGGCGCCCTTGGCAGGCACGCCATGTCAAGCAGTGAGGTGAGTAGATCTTAAAAAAGTAACTTGAAAGCTGGTGCAGGGACTCTCTTCGTGGTTGAGGAGGCTGCGACCTACCTCTCCCCTCGCTTTTTCGTGCATGTCTTCGGTGCGTCCTGCCTGTCCTTGGGCGTTGTGCTGCTCTGGCAGCAGCTGTGGCAGCATACCGGCCAGTACAGTCCTCTGTTTCAAGTCTTCTTGGGTCCAAACTGTTCCTACAGCGAGTTCATCTACTACGCAAGCTGCGGTGTGATCGGGCTGATTTGTGGGCTTCTGGCCTGTCTCTTCAACCGTATCGTCCTGGAGCTGAACTTCCTCCGGCAGCGTTGGAGAACTCAGGGCCACAAGCGCGTCTTTACCCTCGAGGTGGTCATCATCGCCGTGTTGTCAAGCTCCCTTGGCACTCTTGCGCCTGCGGCGTCGGGATGCCACCTGAGCACCATTCAAAGGGCCTTTGCCAACAGCAACCAGTGCATAGCGGGAGAATGGGCCCATCAGATCTTCCAGGGCAGAGAGAACTTTCAGGAGAATGCGAGGATCGTGCCAGCTCCGGGCCTCTTCGGGGTTCAGTACAACCCGGATGACTGCCCCACGGCCATCTTCAACGACACGCGCATGCCGCCCTGCAACCTCGAGAAGGCCGGGTTCAAGTTCCCTTCGGAGATCCCCGAGCGAGAGCGCTACTACTACTGCTGTGGCTTCGATGACTTGGACTCCTTCCACCAGGGCCGCGTGTACAGCTTCACTTCGCCTCGAGCCCCCTTGAACCTGGAGGAGGACCCTAAACGCAGGCTCAAGCCCAAACTAGCCTAAATCCGACCCTCTAGGCGGCCGTGAAAAAAAAAGCCGCAAAGCCTGAACCCCAGAGAGCCCAGAACCCCCAAACCCGGGAAACCTTAAGCCAAACCCACGAACTCCAAACCTTCAACCCTCAAACCCTCAACTCAACCCGAAGCTCCTTTCTAAACTTTACCCCACCCGGCCACGACCGAGGCCTACAGAACCTTCATGGAACCCCTTCTAGAGCCCTAAACCCTAAACCCTAAACCCTAATGGAACCCTTATGAAACCCTTATGGAACCCCTCTAAATGAGACCCTAGGATCCCAAGAGTCCCCTGAGGAGTTTTGGCCGTCTTTCGGATGTGATGCGGATGTGTCAGCGAAGCTGGGCTCTAGCTAAGGAGCGTCATGCAAGCTACCATAGTAGGGAATAGTAGGGGTGTATAGTAAAGAATAGTCATGCCGTCTGCTCTTGTTAAGGAACTTCATCTAGAGCTACCATAACAGGCATCCAGTCTAAACAATAGTGGTTCTTCCTTGTTATGGCGTCTATTGCTCAAGAATGAGCCCAGGAACATCAGCATTCCCAGCTACAGGCCCATGGCGGCCTTGGCTTTCGTTCCCGGAAGGATCACGGTGAAGAATCTCTTCACCAGAGGGTCTCCAAACATGCTGCCCACGAAGTCGATGCTTGCTTTCTTGCCCCTCTACTTCATCCTGGCCGCGATCACGTCTGGAGCGGCCGTTCCCAGTGGCCTCGTGATACCCATGATGATTATTGGAGGCTGCGTGGGCCGACTCTGTGGCAACCTCCTGACGCTGATAGATGTTTGGCCCTGCCCTTCCGACTGGACACCTGAGTATAAGATGCTGCTGAGCTGCAAATGCTTGCAATTGAACCCCCCCAAACCCCTAAACCCCAAACCGAAATCCTGTACCCCTCAACCCTTAAACCCAAAAGTCCCAAACCCAGAGCTTGGAATCGAGGCTTCTGAAGATGCTGCGTCAGCAGAGCATCCGCACCTCTTCGTCGCACACCTGTGGCCTCCCAGACCCGGGATCCTTTGCCATCGTCGTGGCCTCGGTGCTCTCTTCTCTCTTTTTTTTCTCTTTTAAACCTCTCTTTGTTTTTTTAAACTCTCGCGGTTTAAGGCCGACCTGTTTTATGGGAGTCTTTGTTGGCCTTGGAAGAAGCAAAAAGAGCGAGGTGGGGGCCGCTGCTTTCATGAGCGCCTCAGGGAGCATCGTCCTCTTCGTGATCGCGATGATGGCGCCGGCCTGAGCGCACCATCCAACGGGTTTTTTGAATCCCTTTTTTCCTAGGCGAAGCTTATCCCATGATAACAGAAGCAACCATGGCGACAGTAAGAGCAAGAACAAAGAGAGGTATAGTAGCAGTGCTGATAATGAGGATGCTCCAGGCTCCTGAGATGGTCTGTTGGAGGTCGTGCGAATAACTCCCCCGGAACACCCAGTAGGGAGGCAAGTTGACGAAGACAGGCAGAGCAAATCAAGCAGCCGCCGGATGTTCAACATGATCCAAGCTGTGAGGTGGAGATCACCGGGGACATCTCTTCGCTTCTTCCCATTGCCTTCGGCGCCATCACTGGGCGCTTTGTGGTCCGGTCCTTCCTTGGCCATGGCCTCTACCATGACCTCGGGCGGGTTTGCATATTTGATTGTCTCCCATGTGTCTAGCGCTCCTTGCTTGTGTGGCCCCCGAAAATCTGAGTGTTTCCTTCCTGGGTTGCTTTTCTTGCGGCTTACATCTTGCAGACTTGCACCATCTTGCACTAACTTTATATGACGGCTGCGCGTCGCAGGACCTCATGCAGATCACCAAGCTGCCCTTCTTGACCCGGGAGTGTCCTCTGCATAAGAAGGATCGCAAGGCACCGGTCTCCTCGCTGCTGCGTGGAGAGCCCGAAAATTCGCTGAGATACCTGCGCCGGCGTGAAAGCCAGGCCTCCGTGGAGGCTTTGTTGCAAGACTGCAGCCACAATGGCTTTCCGATCGTTTCCGAAACGGGGCAGCTGGTTGGGCTGGTTCGACGCTCAGAGCTCGAGGGGTGTCTGCTGGAGGGCCAGGAAGAGGTCCAGTTAGATGTTTTGGCAGATCCGGCACCCTACACGGTGCACAAAGACTTCCCTGTGGATCGTGCCTACCTGCTCTTCCGAGACTTGGTCCCCCCTTTTTTATATAACTTTTTTGGAAATTTATACTTCAAGTGACCATGAGAAGGAAGCCATGAGCAGCGTTATGCTGCCCGTATCCTCGTAGCTTAATGCAAGTTCCTTATAGGAGCCACCCAGGAGAGTTGGGGCTGCGCCAGCTCGTCGTGGTGGATTACTCCGGGAAGCCCGAAGGCGTCCTCACTCGCAGCTCCTTCCTCCCGGAGTGATCGGCGCTTGAAGAAAAGGAAGGCAGCTGCCACGGCGTTTGGCATCTAAGCCCCAAGCCCAACACATCACCACAGCACCGTGCCCGATTACCCATCAAATGCCGTGTATTTGGCGGGGTTACGGGGCTTGGCAGAGGTGCTTTGGCCAACGTACAGGCAGTGTAAAGACCAACGTAAACCCAACCTAAACGTCGTCGTGATGTGAGATACCGGACTCAGCCTCAGGGCCTGCAGGGCTGTAGCACGTCCATAGCAGCTGGAAGCCCGAACGAACACTGCAGAACCAGAGAAGCAGATAGCAGTGTTCTAGGTCCTTTGCTGTGGCTACCTTCGGCCTCCGGCCCCGTGGGATTAGGAAGTCCTCTGGCCTCCTCTGGCCTAAGACGGTTCCAAACTGCCGAACTAGCTGTCAGGCTTGTGATCGGGAGTGCTCGTAGTCCCAACAAACACGTGCATGGTGTTCGCACTGGGAAGTTTTCTGGAAGACGTGGCTCATTGCGGCATTGCGTCGGTCGATCGGCGCCCATGGCCTGGGGCTCAGCGGACAACGGACTTGGGCCAGCTCGTTTGCCTTTTTTGCGACAGAGGCGTGGTCGGCGCGGCTGCTTGGCCCCGGGCTCAGGGGCACCTAGAAACCTCCTAGAGTCAACCCTATGCCGAAACATCCCAAAACCCTGCAAAACCCCAAGCTTCGGGCTACAATCCCCATCTCAGGACTCGCATCTTGGAGTCTCGCCATGGCCGAGTGGCCAGGGTGCCAGGCCAGGAAATCCATCTCGTAGCAAATGTGGCCTCTGAAGGCTCCAGGAAGCTGAAAGCAGGCTTGGTGGTGCATCTCGATATTTGCGTCGAAGGAGAATAACATCGTCATCAGGAATGCAGGGCGTGCCCTTTTCACGCGCGGTCCCTGGCGCGGTCACCTCCTGGAAAATAGGCCATGTATATGCAGGTTATAGGTTCTAGCATGAGTGCTGATGTTGGATTATCTGATATCGCATGCTACTACATTATATGTTTAAGTCTTGTTATATGTTTAAGGTTTATGTCTTGTACAGGATGCTGAAATTAGGCGTGATGTGGGGTAGAATGTTAGACACGTGTTGCTAGACACTGTCACGCCGTTCCTACTGAGGAACTTGCAGGGCTTCGGTGCCACGGTCGGCTGCTTTCAGGCAGTGAAATCCCCCGCACAAAAGGGGGTTTCTGCTGTAGAAGACATGTGTGATCCAACCCTTTTCACTCCAGAAGCCCTACGAGCCCTTTGAGACTTTGAGCTGTGCCCCATAAGCCTTGTAAAGCCGATGCCCATGAAACCTGCAAGCCTTATGTAAAGCCCTGTAATGTCCTGTATAACCCTTGTAGCTCTTATCTGGGGATTTTGTGGAAAGCAGGGATCCTGGTGTCTTGGAGATCTGTTCTGTGCCGGCCCCTGATGTTCCGGGGTCCGTTTGGTAAGGATGGCTCCGTTTCTATTTCTGAGCATCTGAGTGGGTTCCTCTTTGGTGTCTCTGCTTCTACATCGAGTCTCCTCTGCACCAGCCTCGCGAGCGGGTCAGCTGCCCAATGGAATGCCGGGTTGGCCGACAGCATGGACATCCTGGGCCTCACCTTGCTTGCGCACGAAGCCGTCGAAGCTGACGGCAGAGATGGCAGCGGATTTTTTAGGTTGCTGTCCCGAGGGCGTTGCCATCCAGAGCATGGCGGTTGCGCACACTTCTCAGGTGCTCTACGCTGTCTGCAGCGAGGCGATCAACGTGGTTCTGCCCCGAATCAACTTGGAGCTCGGGGGGGATCTGTCAGATTTCGCTCGGATGCAGATGGGCACCAACCTGCTGCAAGCCGGTGGGGGCGCCGCCTTCGGTCTTTTCGCGGACAGGTACGGCCCAAAGGCGGCTTTGTTGGCTGCGCACTCGGCTGCGATCTGCAGCAGCACAATCTTCGCAGCGGCCCATTCCAAAGCCTTCCTTTACCTGGGCTGCCTTCCGTTGGTGGCCAAGCACGGCTATCAGGCAGCGCAGCAGGTCGCGACGCTGCATTCCTCCAGAAGCGGCCGCACCAAGGCGCTTGGCCGCATCGGCACCGCGTACGGCACGGGCTTCCTTGCCGGGTCGGTCGTCATCACTCGGCTGGCCGGGAGCTTTAGCCCGCGAGGCATTGCTGCCTGTTGCGTGGCCATGGACGTCTGCACGTGGCTGGTGGTCTGGGCGATGTACCCGGAGTCCCCTCAGAACGAGAGGGAAGACGTGGCAGAAGGCTCACCGTCGCCGAAGAGTTTGGGTCTGAGTGACCTCGCGCGCCATCGCTACGTGCCGACACTGCTGGTCTTCAAGGCTGTCTCGACGGGAAGTGCCGGCATGATCTTGGGCCTGCTGCAGCAATTTGCTTTGGATCCCTTTGGGTTGTCCCTGTCCTCGGCGGGGCTGATGACAAGCTATATCGGTACTGCCTATCTCGTGGCGCAAGCGGTAGTTGCTCCTGCCCTAGGCAGCCAGAGCCCCAGGATACTGGTCCTGGGCTCCTTTTCTTTTATCGGTCTGAGCCTGGGCAGCCTTGCCTTTGCCAGCGGCCCACTCAGCTATGCAGCAATGCTGGGTCCTTTGGTGATTTCCTCACATGCCTCGAACGTGGCAGTCAACAGCGCCCTAACCCTCCTTGTCTCGCAAGAGGAGCAGGGTCAGGTCCTGGGAGTTAGCATGGCCTGTACTTCTGTCGGCTACCTCTGGGCCCCGCTGCTCGCAGCAGGCATCTACCAACACTTGGGCTTTCCCGCAGTCCCCCTCGTGGCCGCAGCCATTCTTGGTGCTACGACGGCTGTCTCCTTGCTGGTTTTGGAATATGAGGCCGTGCCTGACAGCACCTGAGGCGCCGCCTTGCACGGAGCTTGGAGTTCCACGTCCGACGCTACGGAAGAAGCCCTTGGCCCTGGAGTTTGAAAGCTGCTGTCAAAACCGAGTCGGAATCTACTGCGCCAAAGCAGACATGAAGCTTGCGAGGGATGGGGCTGGCGGCGTTGTTTTCCTGGACTGCAGTTTTCTCTCGAAGGCCCGAGCCCAAGGCACCAGGCCTTTGATTTGCACAGCGGCGGAGATGCAGACAAAAGCATGCGCGGCTAAGCACTGGCAGTTCACTGCGGTCTGCGGGAAGTCTGTGGCTGCAGGACGACTGCCAAAACACCGATAAGTTTGTCGCAAGCTCCATCGAGTCTTGCACCAAGGCCCTGCTCGGAGCAAAGCCTTTCTTTCGCAGATTTCGGCAGATCTTGGTCTTGGGGTTAGATATCTGCTCCCGCAGAGTTTTTATAGTGTGGCTCAACTCTGAGTAGTTTCCATCAGCCGACGCGTTCAGTCTTTTTAGGCGCGCCGGCCTCTTGTTGCATCTCGTGTTTCAGAGCTTCTTTCCTGAGCACCCCTGACCAGGACGAGCGGTTTTTCCACTGCTTGCAGCGAAGCGAGCTTAATTTGGAAGGGCCGCGACTATCGCATGTAGTCGTGAAGACTCTTCTGCGGTCGTGAAGACGCTCACCTGCACCTCGTCAACGATGCCTCGGTCGTCTGCCTTGCATTCGGAAGTCTGGTGCGTAAGCAAAAGCCTCGCATCAACCAAGGTCTCAGGAATCCATTGCTATGAATGGTTTCTGGCGAGCCACCAGGAAAAATCATGTGAGATGAATCGTGCAGTGGCAACCATGGCGACACCCGCAGACTAAGGCTGCATGTAGCTGTACAGAGTCGCAGTCCGATGCGCTGCCCCTGCTGGAAGAAGTTCAGTCGCTCAAGCTCGACCACGAAAGCACAGATAAAGTGTTTGCAGTATGCGACGCCGATGGGCACCTTGGCATGGAGAGGGAGTGCAATTGAAACCCCAACCGCCAAAGTCCCCTCAGCCTTGAATATGAGCCTTTGCAAAGACTCTCTGCTCAGGATGGAAATCGGTTCCTTAGCCTGCACCGATGCAGTTGCCCCTTTCTGTCAGCGAGGCCTTAGTGAGGAATTAACCGAGGATCCGTGAAGGACAGACCCGTTGGCCGCGGCTCGTCTTGAAGCTTCTAGCAAAGTGGCTCCCTCCGAAGCTTCCATTGTCAGTTGTCCGAGGTCTGCATACATTTGAATGCATGTCGCTCTCAGCTCAGCTCTGTAGCAGTACTGTGCACCTGCCGCGTGCACCGTGCGCTGCGGGACATAGGCAGAGTTCATGACGCCCAAGGTCATCGCAGCCAGAAGAGCTTCCTCTTGACGACTTGCCGCGGCCGAGTGTTTCTCTTGAGCCCAGTCCACGCTCAAATCCTCCAGCTGCCCGGCAGCAGAAGCATCTGAGAGAAGCTAAGTCTCACTGCGGTGCGAAGGTCGAGTATTCCGGTGGTTCTTCAATGCAACATCTTGAAGCATAATGTGACGTATGAAGATGCGCATAGTCAGATCCTGGTTAGGAGGAGGAGGAGCAGAAGGAGAGTATCATGAGCGATGAGTCAGATGACGACGCCGTGGAGGTGGCACGGGTTCTTTCTTCGAGCACTGCTTTGCCGTGTTCACTTTCAGGCAGAAGAGAAGGAGCCTCTCGAAGAGATGCGCGGATGGTTAATGTGTGGCTCATTCGCAAGGGTGTGCCATGCTGTGGCAGAATATCTGTCCTACAGAGAGCTCAGGTTACGGTGAACCCAGCGGGGGTAATCGCCTGCAGGCTCAAGTGCAAGCCGTCGCCACTTTGTCTCAAGACCACGGGCAGTTTCCGTGTCAGGTCGCGCGCCTGGCGAAAGCATCAGCTGGCACGCCGGTAGCAGGCGAACGATGTCTGGCGACTCAATCTTGTTCCTGTCTCTGCAGTTTTGGTCCTTGTTCCTTCAGGACTCTTCTGGAAAAAGCGCTACATCCAACTGGTGGATGCCCAGCTACTATGCTGGGCGACAGCGCCACAGCATCGAGGTGCCACAGCATTTGATTGCACCGCACGCTTTGCTGTGTTGTGTTGTGCTGCGCTGTGCTGTGGCCAGGCTCACGGGTAGCCCCAGTGGCCGTCCTGCTCCTGGCGCAGCTCGAGGAAGTTGCAGTGACAGGCAGGGCTCGGACACGCCTGGGGCCTGGGGTTTGTCGCAGACTTTCGCCACCGGCAGGCAAGACGCTGACGCTCCACATGAGGAACCAAAAAGGCTGCCTGCAAGCACGCGCCGACAGCGATGAAAGTGCCAACACTTGGGCCCGAGCGGTGGCTTTGGCCAGTGGATTCAGCAAATGTTGTAGCTAATCGCAGCTAGTGCGCACCTCATGTGGCTGGTGCAGGACTCGTACAAGGACACCCCCTGGTTCTTACTAGAGCCCTAGTGTTCGGTCTACGGGCCCCGACTTTCGGGGTCATGAAACTCGGGTTGTAATTTAAGCTGCATTTTTAGATGACAGCGGGGTCGACTGTTGCATGGTGTTGCGAGGGTTCTTGGTTCTTGGAGGGCACTCCTTCACTTCTATGGGACACACTATCGTGAAGCTTGGCCACGAAAAGCCAGAGCCGAGGTAAAAGCTCATGCAGGCCGTGCTATCAGCAAAAGCTTGCCTCCCGGCTGGGATGTGGAGGCGCCTGTTCATCCTGGCCCCGACATCCCACAGTGCGATTTGAAGCCAACTTTCTAGATCACTTAGAGCTGGGAGGTGGATGTGCGCAAGGTTGTGTCCTCCTCTGTTCTCTCGGATTCGGGGTCGAATAGCCAAAGGCCAGCTGGCATTGCGAGGAAGCACCAAGACTCAGGGGGGGATATGGGATATAACAATTAGCTCAAAAAGCTCTCCCGGAAAAACACCCAAAACCACCCTTTTGTCTCTGCAAGGCCATGCTCAGCCGCGGCATGGGCGGTTCGGCGGCGAAGATGGTCAACAAGGAGACCCTGGACTCCAGCTGCAACGATGCCTTCCAAAAGATCCTCTCTCGCACGCCAGACCCGCTGCCCCCTAAAGGCCTACTCTCTTCCGTCCAGCACCTGACAAGCGAAGATACGTAGCCCAAACACCCTAAACGAGAACACGTCCACCCTAAAGGCCCTAAACCCTACGCCCTCAACCCTGCGATGCTCTAGAATGCCGCCGGAGGTTGTTGGACCACTGCTTCGTTTGCAAGACCACCAAAGACCGCCCCTTGCCCAGCGTCCAGGGGTAGACATCAGGATAAGTTTATGTCAATACCATCTCATGACTCATTCTCGGTATTGAGAGCGATAGCAGTATATACCAACAGTCAGTACAATGTTAGCAATACACGTAGCAAGAGTAACAGATAACTCATAAGAAGAAGCAGAGCAACAACGGTAAGTACAAGCAGCAACAATGCCATGAATAGGATTACAATTTCGACCCGTAACACTGACAATAGCAAAAGTACTTGTCATAACGACAACCGTCATAGCGACAGCAGCAAAAACAAGACGAGGAGCAGCAACAAAGGAGCATTTGCAACAGCAACAAAGATAACGATAGATAGCAGCTACAGGTAACGGCTGTTGTGCTAAGAGCAAGAACGAGAAAATGACACTAGCAATCGCACAGACAATAGCTAATCATGAGCAAAGGGGAGCAAGCTCAACAGCAGCAAAGTGTAAACGTAGCGGCAGGAACGGCAACAGCCGCTATCACATCCACCTTTGCCGGTTCGATGAGGTCGCGGGAACCCCGTGCCAATGCGGCTGGAAATTGCAGAGGCAGTTCGTGTTCAGAATGGCGCTGCCTGGTTGGAGTACGACAAGGCCCGACCCGGAAGTCATAGATGTCAGGTCCAGACGTTGAAGTAATGAGACTAGTTGCCCTCGAAATATAAAGCAAATAAGACGAAGACGAACAACAATACTAACAACAGCGCAAACAACAATACTAACAGCAGAAGCACCATAACCAACGAGCACAGCATCAACAACAACACCAACATCACCAACATCGACAACAACCTCAATAGCATCCAGCAGCAGCAGCAGCGGCGGCGGCGGCGGCGGCGGCGGCAGCGGCGGCAGCAACAGCAGCGGCGACAACAACAACAACAACAGCAACAACAGCAACAACAACAACAACCACCATAACGAAAATCACATTAGCAATAACAATAGCAATGGCAGTACTTTTACTACGAATGATACCGAACAGTGTCAATAACAGTATTGACAGAATTTGTCATATAAATACCCCATACTACTACTGATCATGATGCTAATGCTGCTGTTAATGCCTGGAGGAACGTGCTTTCCAATACTAGTACGAGTACCAGTGGCAATACTCATACTAAGGCTAATGCCAATACTAGTACTTTTAATCATGATCATACCTATAATGATGCTCGTAATAATAGTCATGCTGGTAGTGATCATATCGACATAACAATCTTAACTAACTGATTTCAAAATTGTAGGAAAATGAGAATCACCATGGTCAGAATGATAATGGCAATGCTAGTAATCATCATAACAATGGCAATGCTGGCTTGACTGTGGAGGTTAATGTAAGTAAGGAGCACTGAACACGTCCAGGCGAGGCGCCGAATCTGCGACAAGGTGGAGGGAACATGTATGTTTGGCTTCGTGAACTTTCTTGCTTCGAGTTTTTGTTTTGCGTATTCCTTGCAGATTCTGAAGGGTTCCGAAGCTTCAGTATTCAGAAATCCTGGCAACAGGTGTTTTCAGCGTACCAGTGGGACAAGCAGCACTCCGACTCCGAATCCTGCAGCTCCTCCATGACTGCCGCCGCTTGGTCGCAGGACAACGTCCTCTGGCTCAGCAGTGCACCATCTTTGACCTGTCCATGAACAGGGCCCAGAGCCCCAAACCTCAAACCCTAAACCCAAGGACCCTAATCCCAAAGACCCGAAACTTAGAGCCCCGAACCCTTAAATCCCGAAAGGCCGAAAGAAAGCCGGAAAAAAAAGAAATAAAACCGAGAGGCCCTCGCAACCCCAAAGTTTGAAGCCAAGGCCGAAAAAGGGCTTCACAGCGCCCACACGACGGTCTCCGATTTGGGCAGTAGTGCTCCGACTGGTCCTGGGCAGTTGGGCAGGTCCTAGCCCGAGGTTCCTTGGGGGCTCTGTAGGTTTTTTTTACGTGCTTCGAGGTCTTTCTTCCTGAGGGTTTCTCAAAAACTTGGGGAACCTAAGGGTCCTTGGAGTAAGGATCCTAGCGTTTGTCCTCTTCAGCTCTTGGCTAACCCATCCTGATGGACCTGCTGGAAGATCGGGGTGTGGGGGTGTGGCGTCGGCAGAAGGCTGCTTCGCGCAGAGGTCCCTAAACCTCCAACCCTAAACATGTAAGGGGCTCGGTGAGGGTACCTTCAAGGGCTCTGTTCGGGTGCGTACCATAATTTATTTCTCAAGGCTTCAACGTCCCCTACAACCCTAAAGCCCCTAAAGCCTAAATCCTTCTCTCCAGAAAGGTTTCGATAAGGCTTTAATTTAACGTCCCTACCACCCTAAAGCCCTTAAAGTGCCCTTAAACCCCTAATAAACCCCTAAAGTGCCCTTAAACCCCTAACAAACCCCCAAAGTGCCCTTAAAGCCTAATAAACCCCCAAGGTGCCCTTAAACCCCCAAATCCTTCGCACTCCCCGAGTATCCTAGGTGAAGGGCAGAGTTGGGATCCCTTCGGGCTGCAGTCATCGCTGCTTACCAGAGTCTTGGCCAGAAGTGTAAGGGTTTAGGATTTAGGAGGGTTTAGGAGGGTTTAGGGCTTAGGGTTTAGGGTTTAGGAGGATCAAGGGTTTAGGAGGGTTTAGGAGGGTTTAGGGTTTGGGGTTTTTTCGGTTTAGGGTTTAGGGTTCAGGGTAGAAGCGGTGAGTCGCCATAATCTGCCCCAGACCCCGAAGTCTTGACCTCGAGACACCCTAAACCCTTAACCCCTAAAAGCTAAAGCAAAAAACGACCTCGAGACACAAACGCCCCACACCCCAAAATCCCTAAAAACCAACGGCCTGAAGCCCTAGAGTCGAAAACCCAGCACCCGAAACTCTCAACTTTCCTCGCTTTTTGGGTGGCTTCAGCAACGATGCTGCTCAAAGGGAGAGTTTCAGTAAGGATTTGGGGGCCTAGGGCCTTAGGGTGTCAGGGCTTCCGGGTTCAAGTTTAGGGGCCTTAGGTTTCAGGGCTTTACGGTTAGGGTTTAGGGTTTAGGGCTTAAGCAGGGTTTGGGGTTTAGGGTTTAGGGCCTTGCGGTTTAGGG